TTAAATAAGTCTTCCAGAAATCTTAGTGCAAGCAGAATCTAATGGCATTTAGTATATAAACTGCATTATTTAAAAAAAAAAAATCAAGCCCTTGGTTGTTTCTTACAAACATAAAAACTGGCCATTTACATTAACATGAACTCTTTAATATGTCATTGGTGGAAGTAAGAACTTTTTACAGCCTCTTTGGAATATAGTTTGGCAATATCAAAAGCCTTGAAAAGGAGCATACTCTTCATCTTTGCAGTTCCAGTTTAGGAAGTTATCCCAAGGAGGTAATCAGAGATGTGTTCAAAGATGTATATATAAGGATCAAAGCATTATTTATGTTGGTAAAAGTAAATACATAAATAAAACAACCAAACTGTTCAAAAATAAGAAATTGACTAAGTTTTACTTTACCCATATGATAGCCTGTTTTGCAGTTGTAAAACATCTTATTGTGCAAGAATATTAATTGTCGGAGGACAATGTTTATAATGCGTTAGTTAACTAAAGACTACTACAAAGTGATGTAATCATACTATATTTAATTTAAACGAACGTGTGTTTAGACAAAAGTCTGGAAGAATAACCATTAACGTTAAATGGTTAATTTCTAGTGGTGGGAATAGAGGAAATTTTTTCCCCTCCAAGCTCATTTGTAATGCACATTGGACATATATTATTTTTGCAATTAGATGGAAAAAAGATTTAAAAGGAAAAAAAACTAATACGGACTGAGACCAAGAAAGAAATTAAGCCGGGGTAACTGACTCATACCACTCCATTGCTTTATAGTTTCATGCTTCTGTAGATAGGAATGATGTGTGCTGTGCGTGATCTATGCAGTAACATTATATAAACCAAAAAAACCCAAACCCGTTGCCGTCGAGTCAATTCTGCCTCATAGCGACCCTATAGGACAGAGTAGAACTGCTGCATAGGATTTCCAAGGAGCGGCTGGTGGATTTGAACTGCTGACCTTTTTGTTAGTAGCTGAGCTCTTAACCACTAAGTCTGTCTATACAGTGGCAGACTTACTGATTAAGAATAAGAATGAATTATTTTTCTAATTTAAAAATTTTTTATATTGTACTTTATATGAAGGTTTACAGAACAAATAGTTTCTCATTAAACAGTCAGTACACATACTGGTTTACGACATTGGTTAACAACCCCGCGACATGTCAACACTCTCCCTTCTCGACCTTGGAGGACCTTTTTTTTTCCTATTTGGTTTTTAAACTATTTTTTCTCAAAAGACTGGATGGATATTTCAAAGATAGTATAATTTGTAATTATATAGAACTTGAGAATCAATCCATGTAAATTTAGACTGTGTTAATTTAGCTCACATCCTTGTCACTGTTTTTTATACTAAGTAGGCCTGTGCTTTTGAGTCGGAATTGACTCCACGGCAACGGGTTTTTTTTCCTTAGGCCTGTACTCAAAATTGAAAAAAAAATTACTGTCTCTGTGTCCGGCAGTAAATTCTGTATCTTCACATAGTGTACACATGTGTAGAAAGAATCAACCTTTGAACTCATTGAGGGATTATTAAAAAAAAAAAAAAAAAATGGAAAGGAAGATAATAATTTTCTTTTCATATCTAAGTTAAACCTGAAAAGGAGATGAATGGTATTACTTGTTATCTTAAGGTGTTTCGTAATGACTGAACCTGTGACTGTCTGATCAGGATTTTTTTTTCCTTTAACATCCTCCCTGTACTGCTGATGTATGTTGTTTTGTTTCCTGATTTGTAATCACTGATTACATATTCACATTAGATTTTATGCTCTCCAAGACTACATGCGCGGGTTACAGTGTACCCTACAAGGCGTGCAAAATTTATAATAGAATTCCTGGAGTGTAACAATGGAACTAGTGGTGTAGCATACCCATAGTTCCATGTGTCTTTATAATACACAGGCCAAAAAAAAGTACTGGTGGCTTTTTGTTTTATTTTAAAAACATTCTTGGACATTTTCTTTCAGACATCTTGCCCCTTTTATATGCATAATTAAAAAAAAATTTCTTTTTTAACATGATTTTTTAGAATTAAAAAAGTGATGAAGCTATGCTATTGAATAAAACTACTACTTCTGCTTTAAATTCTTTTAAAAAAGTGTGACATTATTTCTAAGGCATTTTGATTTTAAACCAAAATTATTATGACCAAATGAAAAAGAAGGGGTATAATTTAAATTTCTCCCTCCCCCAATTTACAGTGTTAGTGTAAGAAACTTTTTCCCTGTAATATTTCAAAAACCCTCGACCTCTGCATAGCTTTTTATAACCAAACGTGATATAAAAATAAGTAGATGAATCATAATAAGATTTAAAAAACTTCTTTACTTTTTATTTTGTTGCTTTTACATTTCATTTATTTATGTATTCATTTTGTTTTTAGTATTTGTAAGATTTTCACAAGGTTCATAATTCAAAAAGTGTAAAAAGCAAAATGTCTTTCTCCCATTTCCTTCTTGGAATCAAGCATTTTTATAAATTTCTTCCATTTCCTTCCAGATCTAATCTATACTTACACAAATATATACTTATATTTTACCAAATGTTAGTTCCTTCTGACCCTAGCTTGATAAAGTAAGTAAAGATTCTAAGAGGATTTAAATAATACACAGCTTGATGTAACAGGTATACAGGGAACTCTGCACCTTACAGAGAATATACATTCTTTTCAAATATTCTTGTAACATTTGCAAAAATGGGCTCAGTGTTATGCTTTCATAGGAAGATCTCAATTCATTTCCTAAAGTAAAAATAGTACAGATCATAGGTTGAAGAAGACAATTTAATTATCTCAGTGGATATTTAGCAACCATTTCAAAACATTTAACATCCATTCTTTGTCTGTCCACTTGTTTGACTTTCTATTATTTTGTTTTAGGTGAAATTTTGTAAAAAAACATATGATTTTTAACAGAATTTGAGAATTTTGGGCTTTTAATAGAGAAATTGAAACTATTCTTTTTTTTTTTTTGCTCATTGATTTATTCACTCAACTATCTTATTTTATGTTTTCTGTTTTGTTTGCTTTCTTCTATCTTTTCCTCCCCAGTGCCTCCTCTTTGTTTCCTGGATACCCGTTTTTGAAAGTACTATATCTGTTTCAATTTTCTAATGGTTTCTTGTGAGGCATTGGCAGTTCAGTGGTAGAATTCTCACCTTAGTCTGGGAGATTTGGGTTCGGTATCCATCTAGTGCACCTTGAGTAGTCACCACCCGTCTGTCATCGGAAGCGTGCATGTTGCTATTATGCCGAGCAGATTTTAGTGGAGCTTCTAGACTAACAAGTATGGCCTGGTCCTGGTGATCTGCTTTCATAAATCAGCTACTGAAAACCCTGTGGATCAGAATGCCTGATCCACAACCCATCATGGTGATAGCAGATGGCGCAGGACCAGGCAGCGTCTTGTCCTGTTGTGCGTGGGGTCGTCATGAGTTAGGGGCCTACTTGATGGGCAGCTAACGACAATGATTTCTCCAAAAAAAAAAAAACTAATAAATCATTTATGACAATCAAGAAGTTTTAAAGAATAATAAATATATGCAGACCCACACAGAGCTTCAGAAGTAAGCATTATTTATACAGTTAAAACCTCCTCTGAACTTTTCTAGCATTGATGCTTTCCTGTCTGTAGTAGATTAGCACGGTTCTAAATGTGAGTACTCTTAAATTGTTACAAACACATTTGAGTAAAATTAAACAGGGCGTAACCTTTGCCCCCTCTTCCAGCAAGAGAAGGCTGTAATATAAGTCTTTTTAATAGGGTGTTGGCCTTTTAGAGATCGACTTATTAAAAAATTCTTTTAGGATGCATCTTTTCTTTGATGCAAGTACCTACAATTCTAATTACTGACAAGGGCTCAAAAGATTACTTTCATCCTAAAATTTGAAATGGACCTAGTGATTTATTTTGTATTTTATCAAATTTTTGCTTGAAAAATTTAATTGGGAACCTGAATTTACATCGTTGAATACTGGAAGTAGGGATGTGTTTATGAGAAGTTCTTCTGTATACTGCTAATAGCACTAGCGATTGATGCTAATGAAGTAATAAACACATCAATATATACAGATCAGAACACAGGCCCTGTTTTATCAGTGTTTGCAATTAGTGAAAATTTACTCCAAAATTTAAATCTTTTTTATAGGTACTCTCTTTATTTGCTTGTTTTTTTTTTGTTTTAGCATTTTTCTTATATAAACAAGTAATACACATGTATTTGGTCTATTTGGGAAACCTTCCTTCAGACTTCCAGATAGGGTCGATCATTTTCAGTGTGGTATCTGGACCTTGAATACATTTCTGTTGCTGTACATATATAATGTGAGAATTTGTTTTAATTCTGTTTTCCTGTCTATGTTAGGAGCTCATTGAGAACACATAATGGGTCATTTATCAATGATTTCCTAGCACTCTGTAGTGTTCATGCTTAATAAATATTTGTTAAGTTGGTATAGTTTAATATAATTTATTGTAACTATAAATCTAATTTTCTATAATTTGTGGCTGCTCTTGTTTTAGATTTTATGTTTTATATTTTTACAGGAGGTATATGTATTTATGTAATTTGGATATATGGTGTATATTTAGTAGGTTTAACTGTTATACAGAAATTGCTATTCATATAATTCCTCAAGCAAACTGATACTATGAATGACAGCATAGTAATCTTTATCTATGATTGTCAAGAAAATGTGAATTTAGATGGTCTTCTGTTTAGTAGTATTTTGCTTCTAAAAATCTTTTTTTAAAAATAGGAGTGTTTTCTACATTACGTGCTGTTCCCCAAAAGGAAGGATACCTTGGTTTGTATAAAGGAAACGGTGCAATGATGATTCGAATCTTTCCCTATGGCGCAATCCAGTTTATGGCATTTGAGCAGTATAAAACGGTACTTGAACTTTTATCTTGTTTTTCTTATGTACTTATATATCATGCTTACTTGATGAGGCATTTACTTTTGCCTTTAAAGTTATTTTGGATGATTGGATAAAGTGTAATACCTTTTTGAAGGATTAATACTTGTGGTAGTTTAAATTTTTAAAGATAGTTTTGTTTTGGCATTATCTATTTCCAGAACTGTTCATCACTTATGTTAGTCATAAGTTAGAATTAGTTACAAAATTCTTTATGTTCAGACTTATGAAAGAGGTGGCAAAATATCCTTCAAGTAAATAATAATCCATATATTACTAGCTTTTTTTTTTTTTTTGCAGTGTTTCAGGAGAAATGATTTTTTATAAAAATATCCCAGTAGTTAGTTATACCAACAAACATTTTTTGTAAGCCTAGTTTACATGCATCAGTATACCTACAAGGCTAAAACTCTATGCTAATTTACTTTTTGAACCTTTTAATGAGCTCCAGTCAGAGCATCATTATTACCCAATTATAAAGATGCTTCCAATCATGTGGTTTCATCTGCATGCGCTACAAGCTGTTGTTTTTGTTACTGCCAGTGTTTTTATAGTCACTGATTTTGTCAAATTTTCTGGTGTTTTAGCTACAATATTGTGGTAATTAGAATGGGAGAGGGGTGATACCATGAGTTACCGTGCTGAGTATTACTAACTTTTTTAATGTGCTTTTTGTTCGTCAGTTGTAGGAGAGATCACTGTGGTGTTCGATTTTCATATTAAATAAAATAGTTAAACTATATTGTAAAAGTTTGTTTTGGAGTGATTCTATCAGTTAACAGCTTTTCCCATCTTACTCTTTGATTGCGGATGACACAGGACCAGGCAGTGTTTCGTTCTGTTGTACATAGGCTTCCTGTGAGTCGGAACTGACTCGATGGCACCTAACAACAACTCTTTGATGAAGTTTCCCCTCTCTGGCTGAATGAAAGTTTATCCTCTCAGACATTGTCTTAACACAGAAAGGGGTTAAGTATGTTTTTCAAAGGGTATCTTAGAGTGAAATGTAAGCTGTAGAGATGGGAACAAAAATCTAGGCTAACCAGTCAGATAAAATTGTTAAAATTGCTAGAAGTATATTAAGACTTAGTTCTGTCTAATCTAGCATTCTGCTGTGACTATCCCCATTCAAACTTTAAGGGTTTGTAGTTATCCATATACAATATAAGTGTATTTGTCAATTCTAAGCTAGGCCTCTTCTGTAAAAGTACAAATGTTAGAGCAGAGGCTACAGAGGCAATATCTGACAACTTTCTGATGTTATGTAATACTGCCAGCTTTATATAATTGTGTTTATTTCATTCACCTGTATTATTACTTTTGTTATACTTCTGCAGCTCTTTTGAAATTAGATTTCATTATTAAACAGTGAAATTTGTGATATTTAAAAAATATCTCACTTAAGTCATTGTTTTTGGTTTTTAGTTAATTACTACAAAGCTGGGAGTTTCAGGTCATGTACACAGATTAATGGCTGGATCCATGGCAGGTAAGAGGAGTGGGTATCTTCTATTTCTGACAAAGTCATTTTCTTTAAAATGTTTGATTTGGTTTAGATAATATGTGTGACATTGGTTAGGTAGCACATGTTTATTATCTTTCCACATTTTGTTATAGAAATCTATTAACTCTTAGTCTGGGTTCTCTAGAGTAAAACCAATGAAACTTATATATAAATATATATATAAAGATTTACTTCAAGGAAATACCTCATGCAGTTGTGGAGCCTGGCAGGTCCCAAACTGTGGGTCAGGTGGCAGGCTGAAGGCTTCTACTGGCTCATGTGGTTGCAGGGACTGACAAACTCAAAATATGCAGTTCAGGTGGCAGGTCTAAGGCTTATGCTAACTCATGTCCCAAGAACTGGAGGTCAGACGACAAGAAGCATGCAGGATCAAGAGAGAGTGCGAGCTTTGCCAGAACATCCATTTATATACTGGAGCGAGGCCCCTCCCCCAAGGAAACTCCCCTTTCAACTGATTGGCTGCTCACATCAAATTACAAAATGGAAGATGATTACATAGCGTTGGCCAAACCACTGAGAATCAAATCCTAGCCAAGGTGACACAACATTAACCATCACACTCTCCTAACACAAAAATATTATTTTACAGGAGAAGAAGTTAAGGAATAGTTTAAATTTACAACTATGTGAAAAGCATGCATTCCTTTTTACCTAGCAATTCTACTTCTAGGAACTTATCTTCTTTTTAAAAAAAAATTAAAAAAAAACCAATACATATATATATATATATATACCATATTTTTATGCAGATAACGCATGCATTCTACATTTTTTTGCCAACTGCACCCTCCCCTGTGTGAGGAGTTTTCGTAAGTGCATTATGCCATTTTTTTTACTTGTTGCTGTAGATAGTATTAGATATTGTTGCTGTATATATTGTTAGATATTGTAGAATAGGTGTGTTATTTGCATGAAAATAGGGTAGTATATACAGTGAAAATAATTCAACTCATTAGAGGTAATCACTTTTAACAGTTTCTTATGTGTGCTCTTTTCTAATGATATTCCATAATATTATGACTTTCCTTTTAGAATTATATTAATATTCTTTTCTTTATCAGTACATAGATCTGCCTTATTCTTTTTGAGAGCTGCATTACATTCTCAGTTATGAATGTACCATGATTTATTTAATCAGTCCTCTGTTGATTGACATTTGGGATATTTTCTGAGATGGGAAATTACTGTATCCATCGAAAGATAAGTGCATTTCAATTTTGAAAGACATTGCCAGACTGATCTCCATAATACCTTCAATGACTTGTTTTCCTTCCACATTCTGTCAACACTGGATCTTATCAAACTTAATATTTGCCAGTTAATTGTGAGTAAGTCTCACCAGCTTTTCAAATGTTTATTGACCATTTGTATTTTTTTTACTTTCAGCCTTCGGTTGTTTCTATTTTTTAAATATTTGTATGAGTATGGGAATTTAGGATGTACTAATTCTTGTCAAATGTTGCCAATATTTTATTTCCCAGTTTTAGATTTGCAGTTTGACCTTATTTATGATCTTAAAAAAAGAAATAATCCAAAACTTTTGGTTTTTTTCCATACGGAAGTTTTACATAGCAAAATGAGTTTGCTTTGTGGCTTCAAAATTTTGTGTTGTGCTTAGAAATGCCTTTCCCATTCTAAGATAAAAACATTTAATCATGTTTTCTACTAAAACTTTGTATGTGTATATGTGTTGATCTTTCTAATATTTCTTCTTATATAAGGGATGAGATAGAGAGTGAAAAAAATTACTCTCTAAATGGCTAGTCAGTTGTGCTAAGATCATTTACTCGATAATTTATCCTTTTTCCTGATTTTAAACACCACCTCTATCATATACTAAGTTCTGTGAATTTATTTAAGAGAAGAATTAAGGTCATGTACAGTGATATTTAGCTACAAAACTGTTCATTACAGTTTTGTTTATCGCACTGAAAACCAAACCAAACCCATTGCCAGTGAGCAAATTCAAGCTCATAGCGACCATACAGGACAGAGTAGAATTGCCCCATAGGGTTTCCAAGGAGCAGCTGGTGGATTTGAACTGCCAACCTTTTGGTTAGCAGCTGAGCTCTTAACCACTGCGCCTCTATCACACTGAAAGGTAATTTAAATATATAGAACAGAAAAGTGGTGGGGAAAAAATCAATATATCAGAATTCTACACATCCGTTAATATATTTTTTGTAGAATTTGTATGTATTTACAAACAAAGACATTCACATTATAAGTAGAAAGAAAGCAAGTTACAAAAGAAAATGAATATTATGTATCATATTTTGGCTTTTGCAAAATAAATGCATATATATATACAGATAAAATATCTGCAAGGTTATATATCAACACATTAACAGTTTTTATTTCTGATGACGGAAATAAAATGATTAGAAGGTTATATATTAAAATCTTAATTGTTGTGGTTATCACAGGGTTTATAGGATTTCAGCAGATTTTTCTGGTTATTGCTTTAGTCACGGTATGACACACCCCATGGTGATGTCAGGTTTCCGTAACCAAGATTCTGTGCCATCCGTGGGAAGGAGAGAAATGTGGGTGGTCAGAGACTATTTGGCCTTTATGGGTGAATGGACCTCTGATATTCAGTATGCACAGTTAAAGCATTCTAGTAATGCTAGAGCCCTTGAGGTCTACAGGTATGATGTGGTAGGGACAGATGTTGACCAGGTAGGTGCCAAAAAACAACAGAAACCTTTGGTTAGATGTAGATGCTATGGCCACAGATAATCATCTTTTTGGTTGTTAAGGTTACAGGCTAGGTCTTGGACGACAGGTGTTAGAGACCTCCCAGACAACATCTCAGATTCTAAAACCATTGATTCCTCAGCCTACGTTTGTACCTATATTCACAGTGTCTGACCTGACTTGCCCCGTCCATGGTTTTGCTTTATCCAGTGTTCAGTTAGTTCTCCTTCACGCCTAGCTGGCTGGCCCAGGTTCAATAAGTAGTAAAAATAACCAGGATTAATATTCAAAATATTTGACAACCCAACTTTGTATAGGTAGTGATAAATAGAAAAGGTTCTGAAAGCCTCCTGCTGTGCCAGGTATTAACTCCGTAGTGGCTGGGTCATGAGATGGTGTGTGGTGGTGGGGCGAGTTCCTGGGGAAGGGTCACCAGAGTCATGGTGGTGGAGATCTTGAGGAGTTGGAGCAGTAGCGATTGTCAGTTGGTATGGAAATATTCTAGTATTTTACACTGACATAATGGTACTGGTGCGTAACATTAGCTAATATGTGTTTATCACTTGTGTGCAGTGCAAAGACCTGAGCACTTGACACGCAATCCTTGGACTCTTGACATGTCATCCTGAGAACAATACTATGAGGAAAGTGCTGTGATTATCCTCAAGTTATAGAAGAGAAATTTTAGTAAAGTTTCTAAATCTTAAAATTTATGATTTCTAATATCACTTTTTAATTTTCTGTGTCCTAAACTTTAACTTTACAAGTGAGTGGTCAAAATCCTTTCTTTGAAGGTAGGAGGAAACGTGAAGTAGGATTATGAATATGAGTTAAATTTCAAAGACTTTTTTTTTATGGCCCTTGATTATTGAATTGCATATTCATTCAAATAGTGTTTCTAGCTTTATTTTTCTGAAATTAAAGGCATGTTAGCATCAAAGTTTCAATATTATAAAACAATAAGAAACAAAGAACCTGAATTATCTTAAAGAAAAAAGTTTTTTTTTACATTCTAGTTATTATAGATAAGACCAATGCTACTGCTATCTAATATTTCTATTTTTATTGTCATGCTTAATTACAATTTACATTCTGATTCTGTGCTATAAATGGTTGAAATGAATGTTCTGGTTATTTTATTTATAGCTGGTATCTTTGCTCTTGTACCTTTGGTAGCCTTTAAATGTAAGTGTGGAAATTTTGTATTTGCCAAAGAAAAAAATAGATTTTTCATGATCATCTCAGTAGAGCTTATTTTAAAGCTTTTGTGAACTTTAGCCTTTTCCATCACCCTACAGCTAGAATCCAGTATATGCTGAATCTCATTCTGCCAGGAGAAGGGAAAACTGGAGACTCAGAATCAAGCTTTATATATTTAAGGAAGGGCTTTTCCTTTTTCCTTTATGTATGTTTCAAATGTCTGAAATTAGTTTGACTCTGCCAGTTGCCGTGAAACTAAGCGTGACAGCATAAAGAGGAGAGAAAAAAGAACTGAATTATCAGCAGCTAGAAGTGGTGAGCTGAGTTCTGCTTGCTGCTCTGCCTGGTCTAATTTGGCTTGGTGTTCTGGTGCAGGGCTGGGTGACTAAGTGGACGGAATAGTGCCTGAGATCCTGGCTGGCCTCCATTACTCACATGCCCTTTGATTATGGGCGGATCACCTGTAGTAGGGTAAGAACATCACAAAGTCTAGTAAAGCAAAAAGTAAGTTTTATTTGGCATATATTCAAAAAGGGCTGAAGTGGGAAGCGGACAACCATGCTGCCAGAGCCATGTCTGCCCAAGTCCAAGGAAATATCAGAGAACAGACAAAAGTGGGAAAAGGGACAAGCCTGCTGCTACAGCCATGTCTGCCTGAGTACAAAGAATATTACAGATTAGGCAAGAATGGGAAAACAGACAAGCCTGCTGCCACAGCCATGTCTGCCCAAGTCCAGAGAACATTACAGAATAGGCAAGAATGGGAAAATGGACAAGCATGCTGCCACAGCCATGTCTGCCTGAGTCCAGAGAACATTACAGAATAGGCAAGAATGGGAAAACGGACAAGCATGCTGCCCCAGCCATGTCTGCCCGAGTCCAAAGGACCATTGCAGAGTCATCAGTATATATTAACGTTACAAATGGGCAAAACCATTGAAAGCTTAGCCTTTTCAGATTGGCTAGAAACTGTGATCCTACATTTTAAATTGTCTTTCTCAACAATCATTGGTACAGGTTTCAGTAAGGACAGTCAGGAGGGTCTTCATTGGTCCAAGAAATTT